TTCATTTTCGCAGGCTAAAAGTGTTGCCTTTACTTGCAGCTTGATCGGCGTAATAATTTACGGAATAAGAATCCGGGCTTGAGCTGTCAATGTATTTTTTTAATATGATATCATAATCATGAAAATCACGCTAAATCTACTCTGAATTTGTCTGTATGCGAGTCGCTCTCAATTATTTTTGTTATCCAATTAAATGCCGCCATTCACGCACTTGTCCCCCTCATGACCCGACGCATTCACCCATTACAACGCGGCAATCATTTATTTCGTAACTGTTTTGTCGGTTTTTTTTTTAAAATTATTTCTCTATTTTATAAATCAATAGTGTCTCGTAACCTGCTAAATAACAAGACGATTCAGCCGTCAAATTTGATTTTGTCCAATGCCGGAGTCCAGCGACAGTGTACAAACGTGCTCCGGTGACGACCACGGTGACTAGCTACACCAGACCGGACATATTTCGCATCTGACTCAACCCCATGCAACAAACTTGATACTATGTGTTCATTATGGTCCATTCTTCCTCGACGAACAAGTACATAAGTGGCAATTTAGTCAAAGACGAGAAAACAGCACAAGAAATTTGCCTTATTTACACGTATCGGCAATGCAAGCTGCCCAGCGACTTCCCCTTCTGACGTCACAAGGGGAATTTCTGTATGGAAATGAGAAGCTAATGAGCAGCCTCATTTTAAAATACACAAAAATAAAGTTTCCGTAGACTGAGTTTAAAACGCATTTTTTCACTTAAAAAAAAAATATTTATGCTTAGAAACATAAAAATTAATAATATTAATGTATCAATGGATAATTTTAGGCGTGAAAATAGCAGCCATTTCACAGGCACTTTAAATGGGCATATCTCTTCATTGGCTATAGATCTAGACCAAAATTTTTAAGTTTAATTATAAATATTTAGTTTACTTTATTGTTATTACATCATATACAACAAAAAACAGCTATCCTGAAAAAGTTTTCAAAATGTTGATAAAAATTTGTATGACATCTTTTAAAATGTCAATTACACTAGTATAAAAAGGCAATCCAATTTTTGAAACTGCATACAATAATTTGTTAATCCCTTGTTATTTCCCTACCTCCTCATCTTCTTCTATCCCCTCAGCAGCTCTCTCGGCAACTCGTCTCCGCCGACTTGGTCTGTCTTCTTCCTCATCACTTTCATCTATGACACAAAAATCATCATTCAAAAATTGTAGACATAGCAGCAATGGAATGAGGATTCTAAAATTTAAGTTTGTAAATCAATACAAGTATTACTATAGTTACATTAGTATTAAAAAGATACCATGTTTTCTTTCACTTTTTTATTTATTATTGTTTTGAATGATATACAGAATTTACACTTAGATTTAAACTGAAATTTGTCTACTTTCACTGAAAAATAATAAATCAGTGAAAATGAATCGCCATGTCAATCCAATTATCAAGATCACATTTTCTTTTAGTGAAAAGTATTTCCAGAGGCAATAAAGTAATTCAAATTAATAAAAGTAACTGGAATATCATCTAAGACGATACCTACCATAAAGAAGACCTCTTCTCATACGCCCAGTTGCAAGAGCCTCATCTCTGTCTCTTTTTCTCAACTTTCTCTCCACTTCTGCCCGGACATCTGGTGCAAGGTCGTCATACTCATCGTCATCCAGAGCATCCGGGTCATACACATCAAGTGCCGGAATTGGACGGTAGTCCCTGCAGACACAACACAAAATGTTTCAAGTCGCATTATCATAATAATTTTAAAACGAAAGATACTGACTGGGATCGGGCTAATGTGCTTTGGCCAGCCCACTGGAATAAATAGTAGGTTACAAAGTAATTATATGAACATAAGTAGTTCTAATGTAAAAATCCTGAAAATTAGAAAAGTTGCAATCAAAGGAAATGGAACCCACTGTTCAAGACGATCCCCGAATAGCTCCTCTCCATCTTCTTCCTCCTCTTCCCTCTCCTCTCCGAGAAGCTCAGACTCATCTTCAAACGGAGGCAGATCACTACGTCCAGGACTAGAGGAGAATAATCCTCTCTCAGATCTTTCAGACTGCTCCGGCCTATCACGTGGACTCGTGGGAGCTGAAAATGGCTCAGATGAGGAATGATCCTAAAATAGAAACAAAATTAACCCTTTGAGTGCCATCTTTTTTTTTGCCTATTTTTATTTATTTTTAAAAAAAAACATTGTATAATTTTTTAAGAAATGGGCAGTTTATATTAGCGACAGGTCAGTATTTTGGTACAAAATTTATGGGTTATTTTTGTGAATGATGACAACCTTTGGTGCATTTTATCGCATATAACAGTGATTTTGTGTAATAATCTGTCTATAATTATTAGTTTTTTGTATTATTAATCAACAGTATGTGATTTTTTTGGGTTCACTATCATTTTTTTTTAATCAGAAAAACAACTAAAATAATATGCATAAAATGCCATTTTGGTAGCTGTTTCTTAAGACCATACTGAAAACACACATCTTTGTGAAAAAACTTTCTAAACAAATTGTCAATTACAGTACAGTTCTCGCGGAAGCTTTGGCTTCACTTCAGCTTCACCTTCGTTTCAGCATCGCATCATTATGGTATTGTTATGGCTTCAGCATCGCTTCAATGTCGCGACATTAAAAAGTTAGGCGGTTATCGCTTCGCTTCATTGTGGCCTCATTATGGCGACAATGTGGCATCAGCATCGCTTCATTAAACAAAGAAGTACAGAACTCATTTCGCCCAACCTCTCGCCCGCTTCCGCTTTTCAATCGTTCTTTTGCGACCGCTTGTTGAATTTCCGCTTTATTTTTGACTGTGCAAAAATTCGGACTACTAACAATTTTCTGGTTTTCATAGATCACGGTTACTAAACTGTGCATAGATGTTGAACAACTGTCAAAAGTTCAAATACTTTTTGTTTTAACTATCTATAATTATATGCACGCAATCTGACCCTTTGACCTAGATTTGGCTTGGATTGACTATTTTATTTTAAACAATATTCTGACGTGACGCACTGCTACAAAATGTATTTCAACAGAAGTACGACATGGTTGTCCGGGTTTCTTTTCCTGACTGTGTTGAGTTTACGATT